GCTTTCAAATTTCTCCTTTTACCCACATGAAACTTTTCTCAATTATCTGGCTCTTATTGAGCTCTTCTAAGAACTTCCTGACAACAAATTTATTGTGCCATAAATGGGTTACAGGCAGCCAGGCGCAGTGGCTCACACCTGGATTCCTGAAGGAACACACCTGTGAGCTCTCAGCACTTTGGGAGGCCAAGGCGAGCAGATCACCTGAGGTTGGGAATTCAAGACCAGCCTGACCAACATGGACAAACCCCGTCTCTACTAAAAATACAAAATTAGCTGGGTGTGGTGGCACATGCCTGTAATCCCAGCTGCTCAGGAGGCTGAGGCAGGAGTAGCGAGTGAACCCAGTAGGCAGGGGTTGCAGTGAGCCGAGATCATACCATTGCCCTCTAGCCTGGGCAATAAGAGCGAAACTCAATCTCAAAAAAAAAAAAGGGTTACAGGCAGATGGAGCTACTGATCCCCCTCAGATCTCAGGATAGGCAGGCAGGGGCTGCGTGAGAGCCCCTAGATTGGCATTTCTGGCCAGGTCTGCTTTATCAGTTTACCCTTGGGTCCATACATTATCATCATTTTCTATGCATGCCATGGCATGAAAAATGAAGATGAGCTTACCAAGAAGACCACGCTGGCACAAAGTCGATGCACTGTGAATACTGTCCAATTGATTGACATGATTTGCTTTAGATTCGTTGTTGTCTTCCATAATCATTTCTGCTTTTAGCTGTAACAGCCGCTAGTAATTACTATTATTGATTTTTTCCTCGTTTCCATTATGTAAAAATAAAACCTACACTCTACTTCACCTGGATCACTTCCTACTTCCTGAACATCCTGAAACTTTGTTACCAACATCTCCACCTTCAGCTCTCCTCAGGGATGATCAGGAAGATTCACCAGCACCTCCATGGAGCCTCCGATGAGTGCTCATGAAGCAACTAGAGGTAGAGCCCTGTCACAGGCTTCACCTGCGTCTCCACCTTTGGCTGTGCTGGCATCGGCAGTGCCGGCAGTCACACCATGGTCAGCAGGGACACTGCGCATCGTAGCCCGATTCCTGTGCTCAGCTGTTGTGATGGTGACCACAGCAGGCAGGCAGCACCACTTTTTTATAAATATCTCAAAAGTGAGGCTGTATATGAAAAGGATACCCCAACAGCTAACCTTTATATGAAGTTTCTTTTTTTTTTCTGAATGGCCCACCGCAGCTGCACCTATGGGGTTTCTATAAGTGAGATATCATACTTTATACATATGTTAATTCATTTCAAATCTCACAATCGAAATAAAGAAATATTATTCTTATCATCCCTATTTCTTTTTTGAGACAGTCTCACTCTGTCACAGGCACCATTGTCGGCTCACTGCCACCTCTGCCTCCCAGGCTTAAGTGATTCTCCTACCTCAGCCTCCCAAGTAGCTGGGATTACAGGTGTGTGCCACCATTTTTGTATTTTCAGTAGATACAGGGTTTTGCCATGTTGGCCAGGCTGCTCTTGAACTTCTGGCCTCAAGTGATCTGCCTGCCTCAGCCTCCCAAAGTACTGGCACTAAAGAAGTGGGCCACCACACCCAGACTATTTTCAAGTAGGGAAACTAAGGCACAGAAAGATTAAACTCCTTGCCCAAGGTCATTTAGCTGATAAATGGCAGAGCTAGAATTCATACCCAGATACTCCAGGCTCTGAAGTCCATGCAGGGAGCACTGTACTATGCTAGCTCTCTTTACCATGTGCTGGTGGCAGAGTTGCCACTTCAGCCTTAGCTATACAAAGAGATATCATCATCATCATAGAAGCTCAAAGGTGTATAGGAGGCCAGGCACAGTGGCTCACACCTGTAATCCCAGCACTTTGGGAGGTTGAGGCAGGTAGATCACCTGAGGTCAGGAGTTCGAGACCAATCTGACCAACATAGCGAAACCATGTCTCTACTAAAAATACAAAATTAGCCAAGCGTGGTGGTGCATGTCTGTAATCCTGGCTACTTTGGAGGCTGAGGCAGGAGAATCCCTTGAATCCGGGAGGTGGAAGTTGCAGTGAGCCAAGATCGTACCATTGCACTCCAGCCTGGACAACAAGAGTGAAACTCTGTCTCAAAAAAAAAAAAAAAAAGAAAGAAAGAAAGGTACATAGGAGGAAACTGTCAGAAGAATTAAGGTGAGGATCCCACTCACTCATGCAAATATTTCATGCCAATAAAAAAAAATGTTTCCTTTAGGTAGCCACAGTCCCAAGGCTTGGTGAGCAGATGGTATTTGCATGTCAATTAAGAAAAAGTATTTTTCCAGGCAGAAGTAGCCCATGAGGTTTTGTGAGTGAAGCAAGGGCTGGATTTCAGCTCCCACAGGATCCCCCAACTGAGAGGCCTTGACATTCACAACTATGATGGGTCCAAATTAAGTACAGATGAGAGAGACAACACAATTATGTAGCTCAATACTCTCTCTTATACAACGATATCTACAGATTATGTCAAAGATCTGGATGACTTTAAATGAGGTCATGTTTATGTAATCTGTACCTTGCTTGCCCCAACAGCCTAAGCAGTCAAAAAGATGTCAAAGTTAATGTCAGTGCCCAAATGCCCATGACTCAAGATGTATCCTTCGGTCCCTGCTGCTCAAGCAGAACTCCTCCGTGCCTGACACAAGTTTCTGGAAGGCCCCTTTGGGGAGCCTCGCATGTGCCTATAGCCAAGACAGTACTTCTGTGCTCTGGCTTTCCCACATCATGAGCTTCTCCTAACCACGGAAAAAGTTCTGCCAAGGTTTTCTGGAAGCCACCAAAGCTACCAGTCCTCAGAGTGCCAAGGGAACCCTGGGAGCAATACAAAGGGAAGGACACTGGTCCTCTCCCCAATTCTGTGCCACATCTTCTCACCTGAGCCCCAAAAACAGATCTGTCTACATCCAGAATCTTTCAAAATCTCCAAAAAAAAGTTTTTACCTCATACAAAGAATTCTACCACACCTTCCTGTCCGTTTCTGATCTTTGCCTTTTCAACAAGAAGGAATCAAATTCAATCCAAGGGGCAGAACAGGAAAACAGACATGATCACCATTGTCCCCATTCATTTATCAATTTACTGATGCACTCATCAATTTGATCAACATTGATTGAGGTCAACTTCTGTGCATGACACTGTTTTAGGCATAGAGGATAAAACATTAAATAAGGAGAGACAGAGAACATTAGGAAAAATAGCTAATGCATGCTTGGCTTAATAGCTAGGTGAGGGGTTGATAGGTGCAGCAAATCACTGTGGCACACATTTACCTATGTAACAAACCTGAACATCCTGCACATTTACCCTGGAACTTAAAAATAGAAATTAAAAAAAAAAAAAACACTAAATAAGACAGGCCAGGTGCAGTAGGCATGATCATGCCTGTAATCCCAGCACTTTGGGAGGCTAAGGTGGGTGGATCACATGAGGTCAGGAGTTCCAGACCAGCCTGACCAATATGGTGAAATACCGTCTCTACTAAAATTACAAAAATTAGCCAGGCATGGTGGCATGTGCCTATAGTCCCAGCTACTTGAGAGGCTGAGGCAGGATAATTGCTTGAACCCAGGAGGTGGAGGTTGCAGTGAGCTGAGATGGCTCCACTGCACTCCAGCCTGGGTGACAGAGCAAGACTCTGTCTCAAAAAGAAAGAAAGATCAGATCACAGAGCTTACATTATAGTGTGGGGAAGCAGAAAACAATCAAACCAAAAAGTTAATTAACAAGAAGCTATTAGCTAGTTATCATTACTAAAACAAAATAAGTTTTCAAACAAAGATTGAAAAAATTAAACATTTTTTTAAAAATTAATAAAATAAGGTGAAGTGATAGGGACAGCATTTTTCAATACTACAAGATCCAACAGCCTCTATTTAGAACACATATTTTATTTTGTAATTAATTAATTATTGATTTTTAAAAGTATATACTTATCTTACACATTGTTTTGAAATATGTATGCATTGGGGAGTGGCTACATCAAGCTAAATTAACGTACACATTACCTCACATACTTATTATTGTTTTGTGGTGAGAACACTTAAAATCTACTCTCCTAGCAATTTTTTAAAATACACCACATTGGGCCAGGCGTGGTGGCTGATGCCTACAATCCCAGCACTTTCAGAGGCCAAGGCAAGAGGACACTTGAGCCCCAAGAGTTCAAGACCAGCCTGAGGAACATAGGGAGACCCCCCCCCAGCTCAGTAAAAAATTTAAAAATTAGCCAGGCATGGTGGTGTGTGCCTATAGTCCTAACTACTCAGGAGGCTGAGGTGGGAGGATCACTTGAGCCCAGGCAGCTGAGGCTGCAGTGAGCCATAATTGTGCCACTGCACTCCAGCCTAGGCAACAGAGCAAGGCTTTGTCTCAAAAAAAAAAAAAGGAATAAATACATTCTAGTCACCATGCTGTATAATAGAGCTTTTTTTTCTCTCCTTTAATTTCAAAGAGTAATAGTACCCAATAATAGAGTTCTTGAACTTATTCCTCTACCTACGTGAAATTTTGTATCCTCCAACATCTCCCCAGCCACTCCCACACACACCCACCCACATCCCTGGTAACCACCATTCTACTCTCTACTCAGCATTTCTCAACTCTATCAGACACGATAGCCTTTATTAATAACAAACAGGGTTTGTGATTCTAACTTGAAATTCATAAATGATACAATCTACATACGCACATAATTTAAATATATATGTATACATATATTGGGAATACTGTATATATATTCCTAACTATGATAAAGAAAAATAAGAGGACATATCTATAATAAAGGATGCATTTCAGTATGTAGATGATTGGGCATGACTGTACCTGAAGACATAATAAGGTTGTCAGATAATTTGCTTCCAAACGGTGAGTCACTGTGAATGTAATAGCCTCACATGTCCACTGATTGTAGGAGTGTTGCGAAGGACTCAAATATTATCCACAGCATTGCCCTTGATGACATGATTTACCTAATTAAGGAACAATTCTAGGTTAAACTTCAAACAAAACAAAGGATAGGCCGGGTGCGGTGGCTCGCACCTGTAATCCCAGCACTTTGGGAGGCCGAGGGGTACAGATCACTTGAGATCAGGAGTTCGAAACCAGCCTGACCAACATGGTGAAACCCCATCTCTTTAAAAAACAAAAACAAAACAAAACAAACAAAAAAAGCACAAAAGATTATCTTCATCAATTTACATGATAATTGCATCTCCAAAAATTTCATTAGCTGTTACAACTAAGCAAAAAATACCTAGCCATTAGATTTCTATGGCTCTATACAGTGAGTTCTTGATACAGGTTTTTCCCTACACAGCTGTCCAGTGAAACAAAGTCATGTAGTATTGTGGGTATGGTGGCATGCACCTGTAATTATAGCTAGTCATGAGGCTGAGGGGCGAGGATCACTTAAGCTCAGAAGTTTGAGCCTACAGTGTACTATAATCATGCCTGTGAATATCCACTGCACTCCAGTCTGTGCAGCATGGTGAGGCCCTGCCTCTTTTAAAAAGAGAGAGAGAGAGGCTGGGTGCGGTGGCTCACGCCTGTAATCCCAGCACTTTGGGAGGCCGAGGCAGGTGGATCACGAGGTCAAGAGATCGAGACAATCCTGGTCAACATGGTGAAACCCCATCTCTACTAAAAATACAAAAAAAATTAGCTGGGCATGGTGGTGCATGCCTGTAGTCCCAGCTACTCAGGAGGCTGAGGCAGGAGAATTGCCTGAACCCAGGAGGCGGAGGTTGTGGTGAGCCGAGATCAGGCCATTGCACTCCAGCCTAGGTAACAAGAGCAAAACTCAGTCTCAAAAAAAAAAAAAAGAGAGCGAGTAGGGTAGCTGCACTGTTACCAAAAAACAAACAAACAAACAAAAAACGTATGTAGAGCAGTCCTTCATTGGGAGGATTCTATTGTATATTGTGTGACATCCAGCATCCCTTACCTCCCCTTTCACTCTGTCACTAAATGCCAGTAGCAACCCCAATTATTGTGACTAACAAAAATGTCCCCAAACATTTCCTAAATGCCTGCTAGGGAGTGGTGCCACCCCCATAGAGAACCAGTCAAATAAGTGATTCAGGAAGGGCTCACTAAGGAGCTACCCTTCGAGCCAAGAACTGAATGACCAAAAGGAATTAGCCATGGGAAAAGAGCATTCCAGGCAAAAGAAGCACCTGGTTCAGAGTCACTATAGTGACACCACAAATCTGGAGGGTTCTAGGAGCAGAAATAGTGCTGGGACTAGAATGAGTTTAATAAGGAGTATGATGGAGGAAGGTGAGCCAAGGTCAAACGGAATAGGGCCTTACAGGTCAAAGTAAAGATCTGGACTTTATTATTAGTGCGATGAGAAAGCAGGGTTGTTGAGGGAGGTTGTTAAGTAAGGTAAGGTCATTATTTAACTTTGGTTTGTCACTATGACTGTGGAGAATGGACTGCACTGTGAGAGGAGAGGCAGGGAGACCAGCTGGGAGGCTGTTTGCAGGTGTTCAGGAAAAATTATGGTGGCTTGGCCTAGGTTTATTAGCAGCAAGAATGGAGAGAGATGGATTGCTAAATGAATCGGTTTGGGAGAAGAGCCAATGGGACTTAGTAATGAATTGGAATTAGAGGGAGTAGGAGAGCAATTAGTCAGGGGTGACCACTGGTGGTTCTGACATGAGCAACTGAGTGGTTTTGGCACCATTTACTATACTGGTAAATCTAAGGAAGGAATAGTTGTTCATTTATTTGCTTTAGTGGGTGCCAAGAGTTCTATTTTGGACACATTCCATTTGAGATGTCTATTAGAGATCCAGTACTCAAATAGGTAAATAGGCTGTTTGGAGTTCAAACGTAAAGAAAAGGCTGGCTGAAAAGCCTGATATTTAAAGCCAGTCTGTACGTACAGTTGACCCTTGAACAACACAGGTTTGAACTGCATGGGTCCACTTATAATGGATTTTATTCCAATTCTGCCACCTTGAGACAGCAAGACCAACCCTTCCTCTTTCTAGATGATGAGGAGGAAGATTTTATGATGATCCGCTTAATAAATAGTAAATAGAGCCGGGCGCTGTGGCTCACACCTGTAATCCCAGCACTTTGGGAGGCTGAGGCAGGTGGATCAGAGGTCAGGAGTTCGAGACCAGCCTGACCAATATGGTGAAACCCCATCTTTAAAAAATATTAAAAATAAAATATATAGTAAATATATTTTCTCTGTCTTATGATTTTCTTAATAACATTTTGTTTTCTTTAGCTAACTTTATTGTAAATATACAGTTGGCCAGGCCAGGTGGCTCACACCTATAATCCCAGCACTTTGGGAGACCCAGGCAGGTGGATCATCTGACATCAGGAGTTCAAGACCAGGCTGACCGACATGGAAAAACCCTGTCCCTACTAAAAATACAAAATTAGCTGGGCATGGTGGTGCATGCCTGTAATCCCAGCTACTAGGGAGGCTGAAGTAAGAGAATCACTTGAACCAGGAGGTGGAGGTTGGGGTGAACTGAGATCGCACCATTGTGTTCCAGCCTGGGCAACAAGAGCAAAACTCCATCTCAAAAAAAAAAAAAAAGAACAGTTATATAACACACATAACATACAAAATATGTACTTATCAAGTTATTTTATTGGTAAGGCTTCTGATTAACAGTAGGCTATTAGTAGTTAAGTTTTGGAAGAGTCAAAAGTTATATGTGGTTGAGAGTGGGTTGGGCCTATAATCCTAGCTACTGTGAAAGCTGAGGTGGGAGGATTCCTTGGGCCCATGAGTTAGAGGCTACAGTAAGCTATGATTCCACCACTGTACTCCATTCTGAGAGATAGAGCAAGACCCCATCAGTAAAGAAAAAAAAGTTCTTTGCAAGTCTTCAACTGAGTGAATTTGGCACCCCAAGTCTCTATCCCCTACTCCTGACCTCCTGCTGTTCAAGAGTCAACTACAGCTGGTATTTCAAGCCACAGGCTGAGGAACAAGCATTTGGCTGGGTGCAGTGACTCACGCCTGTTATCCCAGCACTGCGGGAGCCCGAGGCAGGAGAATCACTTGAGCTCAGGAGTTCAAGATCAGCCTGGGCAACATAGCAAAACCCCCATCTCTTTTAAAAAATAATAATGAATTAATTAAAGCCATAGATTGAGAGTGACTAGGGAGAAAGTGTGTCTGGGGCAGAGGAAGGTCCCTAGCAAAGCACTCAGGGGCACAACACTTGGTAGAAATTGAATAGGGGAGGAGGGAGGGAGTCAGTTGAAAAACCAGGGTAATGGCCATCACTGGGACCACCAACGGGAAAGCAATGAGGTTGGGAGTTCGAGACCAGCCTGACCAACATGATGAAACCCTGTTTTTACTAAAAATACAAAAATTAGCTGGGCATGGTGGCGGTCATGTGTAATCCCAGCTACTCGGGAGGCTGAGGCAGAGAACTGCTTGAACCCGGGAGGCAGAGGCTGCAGTGAGCCAAGATCAGGCCACATGAGACTCCCTCTAAAAAAAAAAGAAAAAGAAAAGAATTATGAAAAATAAAAATAATAAATAATAAATTTTAAAAATTTTTAAAAAAGAAAAAAGAAAAGAATTATGAATAATTTAAAAGTTCCTTTCAGCTTCGCAAGTCATCCTTTGTAGTGTCATGTATATTTTTAGGAATGATGTCAAATTTGGAAAACCTCTATCAAGTTTATTTTATAAACAGTAAGTTATCTGGGCATTTTAAGTTATAAACTGTAAGTTATTTGGGCATTATCTGAAAGTTATAATCTGTAAGTTATTTGAGCATTTTAAGTTATCTTTTGCAGTAACTGTCTTAAATGCTTTTTGAATTGACAACACTCACTAACCAGTTGTCATTGATCTTCTTGTGTAGTGTCATATTAGATGCTATGTTAGTTTCATCAAAGTCAGTTTTCCATGTAAATTAGCAAAAAATTTAAATCTCTTTTCAATGTGTTTATTTGCTCTATTAATGAGATTTTTTAAAAATCCATGAGTTTATTCATTACATCTGTTCAAAATATCTTCCTCTTAATGTGCTGGTTTGGGTTTGATCTGCAAATTTTTTATTGTAATTTGGTCTCAATATCAGAAGAATTTCTCTAACAGTTTTGTTTCCAGTTTAATTATCTTTTATTCTGAATTTATTCTGTATTATTAATATTTTAACTTGTAAGTTAATTTTAAATGATAAAAGAAAATATCCTTTATATAAGTCCAAATCAGAAGTCTGTAATTTCTCACTTATTTTATTAAAATATTGCAAAACATTTTCCAAATGGCAATTAAAAGTGCACATTCTAGTTTCATAAACATTTTATTTTATTTTATTGATTGATTGAGACAGAGTCTCTCCCTGGTGCTCAGGTTGGAATGCAATGGCAAGATCTCTGTTCACTGCAACCTTCGCCTCCTGGGCTCAAATCCCATCTCAGCCTACCGAGCAGCTGGGTCTACAGGGATGTGTGAACATGCATGGCTAATTTTTGTATTTTCGGTAGAGTCAGGGTTTCACCATGTTGCTCAGTCTGGTCTCAAACCCTTGGCCTCAAGTGATCTGCCTGCCTTCCAAAGAGCTGGGATTACAGATGTAAGCCACTGCACCCAGTCCATTAACATTTTAAATAAACTTTGCAGCGGTGTGTGTTAGCCTTTCTCTTCTGAATCTTTGAAAAATGATTTGGAATCCTTAAAACGTTGTATTCACCTTGCAAAGCTTAGAACAACATCTATGGCAGACAATCTCCTTACACTTAGACTTCTTAAAGAAAAATCCAAATTGGCATGTTTCTTTAAGATAGTCCACATATGTTGAGTGTCAGGATGGTATTGTAACATAAAATGAAATAAAATGTTCCATATATGAAGAACTCGAGAAGGAAAAATATAACTATTGCAAAATACGGAAGTCATCAACAACTTTAGTTATTCTCAGGGCAGCTTTTTCTCCACCAAAATGCTTTTAATTCTACATAATTAATGTTGTTGTTGTTCTGAAATGGAGTCTTGCTCTGTCGGTAGCCCAGGCTGGAGTGAAATGGTGCAATCTTAGCTTACTGTGACCTCCTATTCCTGCCTAAACCTCCCAAGTACCTGGGATTACAGATGTGTGCCACTATCCCCAGCTAATTTTTGTATTTTTATTAGAGATGAGGTTTCACCATGTTGGCCAGGCTGGTCTCCAACTCCTAACCTCAAATGATCCACCCACCTCAGCCTCCCAAAGTGCTGGAATTACAGGCATGAGCCACCATGCTGACTCCAGCCCCTTATCCTCGCCTTTCCTAACAATTGCATAATAGTACGACTGATCATGAATACTGTTCATTGGAAGCTTGCAATTGTTGAATAAAGTCATAAATAAATAGATTTCAATTAACCAAAGTCAACAATGGCTCATGAGTATTTCTATTAATAATGTAGAATAGGCAGGATGCGGTGGCTCATGCCTGTAATCCCAGCACTTTGGAAGGCAAAGGCAGGCGTATCACTTGAGGTCAGGAGTTCAAGAGCAACCTGGCCAACATGGTAAAATCTTGTCTCTACCAAAAATACAAACTTTGGCAGGGTGCGGTTGCTCACACCTGTAATCCCAGCACTTTGGGAGGCGGAGGAAGGAGAATTTTTTGAGCCTGGGAGGTGGAGGTTGCAGTGAGCCAAGATCATGCCATTGCACTCCAGCCTGGGTGACAGAGCAAGACTTCATCTCAAAAAAAAAAAAAAAATTACAAAAATTAGTTGGGCATGGTGGAGGGTGCCTGTAATTCCAGCTGCTCAAGAATTGCTTGAACCCAAGAGGCAGAGGTTGCAGTGAGCTGAGATCGTACTACTGCACTCCAGCCTGGGTGACAGAGTCAGACCCTGTCTCGATGAAAGTAATAGTAACTCTTTCATTTTGTACACATTGATTAACCCTTCATAAGTTTTAGATGTTACATTTGTTCTTTCATATTGACTTTTTTCCAAGTCCCAATGCAAAAATAGAATAGAATCCAGAAATTAGTTCAATGATCCATATGAAATTACCCTTGTCTGAAGAACACTATTTTTTTTTTAAGAACACTATTTTTTTACTATGACCTCTGAAGCAACTTTTATTTAAAAATTTAATAACTACAGCTACACTTTTTAGCATTTCAACATACTTCAGAATTTTTTTCTTGTTTTATTTTTTTCAAGATATTAGTCTAGTGCATTTTTATTTGATTTACATGTATTCCAAGTAAACATAGCCTCCTAATTGCTCTGTGGAATGTATTTGACTTTTGAAACTTAATATATTTATCCAGCCCCAAAACCCCTTTGTTGCAATGTCTGCCCTGTTGAAAACAGTTTACAAACAAAATGATAAATTCAACCTTCAGTCTTACAATAGGTTAAGCAGATTCTCATACCAGTTTGACCATTTTTTTTTCTTTTTCTTTTAAATGTATTATTTTTTTAATGGAATACTTCACGAATTTGCGTGTCATTCTTGCGCAGGGGCCATAGCTAACCTTCTCTGTATTGTTCCAATTTTAGTGCATGTGCTGCCAAAGCGAGCACCAGTTTGAGCATTTTTAAGTATTTTAAATATATCTCTTTGAGAAATATGTTTTTTCATGAGCTGTTTTGTTTGCGCCTCTGTAAATATTAATAGACCAAATATATCAAAAAGTAAACTTTTCTGTTATTCAGTGCTAAATGAAATGATTGCTTATCATAACGGACTACAATGAAAAATCATGGCAATTATCAAAATCAATGAATTCTCAGATGAGAACACATTAAAAAAAATCAATAAATTCACCAAGCTGAAGCACTTGCTGACCTTCTTATATGTTCTGTTTACTATGCAAAATTTGTTTTTTCTTCTTATTATTTTCATCTTCTTTATTCTATTTTCTATTTCCTGTTTAGGTATCTTGATTATTATAGTAATTTTTTTTATTTTTTTTGAGACGGAGTTTCACTGTTGTTACCCAGACTGGAGTGCAATGGCATGATCTCGGCTCACCGCAACCTCCGCCTTCTGGGTTCAAGCAATTCTCCTGACTCAGCCTCCCAAGTAGCTGGGACTACAGACGCGCACCACTATGCCCAGCTAATTTTTGTATTTTTAGTAGAGACGGGGTTTCACCTTTTTGACCAGGATGGTCTTGATCTCTTGACCTCGTGATCCGCCCACCTCGGCCTCCCAAAGTTCTGGGATTATAGGCGTGAGCCACCGCGCCCAGCCCTATCATAGTCATTCTTATTTTCTGTGTTGGCTATCAAAAATATTTTTCTTTCTTTCTTTTTTTTTTTTTTAAGACGGGGTTTCACTATGTTCATCAGGCTGGTCTTGAACTCCTTACCTCAGGTGATCCGCCCGCCTTGGCCTCCAAAGTGCTTGGATTACAGGCATGAGCCACCACACCCGGCAAAAATATTGTTCTAATCCCAGTAAGGCATGGTGGCACCCCTTCATAGTCCTAGCTTCTCGAGAGGCCAGGCAGGAGGATCACTTGAGCCCAGGAGTTTCAGGCTGCAGTGAGCTATGATTTCACCACTGCACCCGAGCCTGGGTGATGGATGGAGTGAGACACTGCCAAAAAATTTTTTTTTCTAATCTTGATTGCAACTAACAGAGCTTTTAGTTTCTGTTTAATATACTAAGATTTTTTTTTTTTTTTTTTTTGAGACGGAGTTTTGCTGTTGTTACATAGACTGGAGTGGAATGGCACAATCTCGGCTCACCGCAACCTCCATCTTCTGGGTTCAAACAATTCTCCTGCCTCAGCCTCCCGAGTAGCTGGGACTATAGGTGCGCACAACCATGTCCAGCTAATTTTTGTATTTTTAGTAGAGACGGGGTTTCACCTTGTTGGCCAGGATGGTCTCGATTTCTTGACCTCGTGATCCACCCGCCTTGGCCTCCCAAAGTGCTGGGATTATAGGTGTGAGCCACCGCGCCCAGCCAATATACTAAGATTTTTTAAAAAGTATTTTAAAGCTTCTGTCTTCTTTCTTGATTTCTACAAGGATGCCTTCTTGTCATAGTTGAATAGCGAAATGATCATCAGAACAAAAAAAACTTAAACTAAGACGTATACAAGAGAAATTCAAATGTGTTTCAAATTGCTACTACATTGCATAGAGCAATATAATTGTACAGTCAAATTCCTTATATATTGCATGCAAAACTGCAGGAGCTCTGTGTCTGGATTCTTCTTCAGACCATTTCACTCTCTGATGCCAGTTTTTGTGCCATTTCATCTAGAACCAGGAGATTTTGAAGAACAAGGTGACAAATACATTAAAATGCAATCCAGCCCGGCATGGCAGCTCACACCTGCAATCCCAACACTGGGAGACCAAGGCCAGAGGATTGCTTGAGTCCATCAAGACCAGCCTAGGCAACATAGTGAAAACCCATCTTTGTTAAGGAAAAAAGTAATATTGGGTGAAGGCACAATACTAACAAAAAAAAAAAAAAAAAGGAAGAAAGTAATAATAAATAAAAAAGAAATTTTAAAAAATGCAATCCCATATGTTGGAATGTATAAAACCCATGACTTCAGGCCAGGTGTGGCAGCTCATGTAATCCCAGCACTATGGGAGGCCAAGGCAGGTGGATCACTTGAGCTCAGGAATTTGAGACCAGCCTGGCCAACATAACAAAACCCCATCTCTACAAAAAATACAACCAATTAGCCAGGCATGGTGGTGCTCACTTGTAATCCTAGCTACTCAGGAGGCTAAGGCAGAAGAATCACTTGAACCCAGAAGGCGGACATTTCAGTAAGCTGAAATTGTACCTCTGCACTCCAGCCTGGATGACAGAGCGAAACTCCATCTCAAATAAATAAATAAAACCCATGACTTCATACATGTGTATACTCATTGTAGAACTGTTCAGGTTTCTGCCTGAGAAGCAGGAATTCTGACAAATTTTATTTTGCCTGATGCTCATTTTTTTAAAACCAGTGCATTTTTAGATATATATGCTGCATAATCAAGTATATTCCTGACAGAAGAGGATTTCTAATTTGATATTCTGTCAATGAGAATCTAATTCCTCTGCTTACAAGTTTATATGCTTCAAATTGGAAGAATTTTTAACAGATTAGCTTCTGGTTCTACATGTTTCAAACACTGTTTTTCCCCATTTTTTTTTTTTTATTTGAGACAGAGCCTTGCTCTGTCACCCAGGCTGGAGTTCACTGGTGTGACTGAGCTCACTGCAACCTATGCCTCTGGGGTTTAAGTGATTCTCTCTCATGCCTCAGCCTCCTGAGTAACTGGTACTACAGACGTGCGCCACCATGACCAGCTCATTTTTTTGTATTTTTTGTAGAGACAGCGTTTCACCCTGTTGGCCAGGCTGGGCTCAACTCCTGGGCTCAAGTGATCCGCCCATCTCAGCCTCCCAAAGTGCTAGGATTACAGTTGTGAGCCTCCGTGCCAGGCCCTCAATTTTATATACTCACAGAGCAGAAGCCATAGACATGTTAATGTTATGATATGACCCTGCACCTTCATGTCACAACCCTGGGTGAGATGGTGCAAAAACAGAAGTACAATTCTTGAAACTCCTTCTATACTGGTATGACCACACTGGTACCACCAAATTCAAACTAAATGTTTGTAACTCAGCTTTCTTGAGCTGGACTCCAAAATGCAAAAAGATATGTGATGGGGCTGGACGCGGTAGCTCACACCTATAATCCCAGCTTTTTGGGAGGCGGATCACAAGATCAGGAGATTGAGACTATCCTGGCTACTATGGTGAAATCCCATTTCTACTAAAAATACAAAAAATTAGTCGGGCATAGTGGTGCATGCCTGTAGTCCCAGCTGCTCAGGAGGCTGAGGCAGGAGAATCCCTTGAACCCGGGAGATGGAGGCTGCAGTTAGCCCAAATTGCGCCACTGCACTCCAGCCTGCATGACAGAGTGAGATTCTATCTGAAAGAAAGAGAGAGAGAAAAGAAGAAAGAAGAGAAGGAAGGAAGGAAGGAAGGAAGGAAGGAAGGAAGGAAGGAAGGAAGGAAGGAGAAAGAAAGAGAAAGAAAAAGAAGGAAGGAAGGAAATGTGATGAAAAGGAGGTTAGAATGAAAAGACACAGTGGTCTCAACTGACTGCAGTAAAAAATAGTTTGCATGCAGAGGTAGTATTAGAATGGAAAATTTAAAAAAAAAAGTTTGCAAATTATACAGAATTACATGACCCTGAGAACTCATGGCTAGAATTCCTTGTAGGTTGTTGGAAGGAGTAGGTGCCAGTGAAAAGCCTTGTGTCCTATGCTTCATTCTCTTCACAGAAAATTCTTCTCCACAAGGCAATAAAGTATTTTAAGAGGAAGATAGGGTTTGCTGTATCAAATACTGCCAAGAAGTAAAATAGGATAAAGACTGGCACAAAACTATTGGATATGGCAATGGAAGGTCTTTAGTGACTTTGAAAATCGTGATTCCATTAGAAGATACAGAAGCCATCTTCAAATAGATTAAGGAAAGAATGGGAGATTAGGAAGATAAGACAATGACAACATGCAAAAACTTCTGTTTGGCTATGGTCTCTCTGTACTTATAAAGATCTCCAGGATTCATTGTTTAGTGAAAGGTAGAGAATAGTGTGTACACTATACTACTCTTGCTGTACGGATTAATACGTGTATCTCTCAACGTCCACAGAAGATGCCTCCAGCGAGGGAAACTGACCTTTGGAATTTTTGAAGCATGTGAATGTATTATCTATTCAAAACATAATTTTTACCCAGGTGCAGTGGCTTGTAACTGCCCAGTGTGTTCACCTTGCGTGCTGCCTAGACAACCAATTTATCAGGGGAATCGCAATAGAGAAAGAGCAATTCCTGGTTTTATTATTATTCAAATCAGTCTCCCCCAGCAATGGGGATCAGAGTTTTTAAGTACAACATGGTGAGTTGTGGGGGAAGACAGTGAGCCAAGAGTGCTGATTGGTTGGGTTGGAGATGAAGTCATAGGGAGTCGAAGCTGTCTTCTTGTGCTGAGTCAGTTCCTGGGGGTGGGAATGTCACAAGATCAGATGAGCCAGTTTATCAGTCTGGGTGGTACCAGCGGATCCATCAAGTACAGGGTCTGCAAAATATCTCAAGCACTGATTTTAGGCTTTACATTAGTGATGTTATCCCCAGGAGCAACTTGGGAGGGTCAGAATTTGTAGCCTCCAGCTGCATGACTCCTAAACCAAAATTTTTTCTTTTTTTTTTTTTTGTTTGAGATGGAGTTTTGCTGTTGTTACCCAGACTGGAGTACAATGGCACAATCTCGGCTCACCGCAACCTCCGCCTTCTGGGTTCAAGCAATTCTCCTGCCTCAGCCTCCCGAGTAGCTGGGACTACAGGCTCGCACCACCATCCCCAGCTAATTTTTATATTTTTAGTAGAGACCGGGTTTCACCTTGTTGACCAGGATGGTCTCAATCTCTTGACCCCCGCCTCGGCCTCCCAAAGTGCTGGGATTATAGGCGTGAACCACGGTGCCTGGCCTAAACTAAAATTTTTAATCGTTGGCTAATTTGTTAGTCCTACAAAAGCAGACTAGTCCCCAGGCAAGAAAGGAGTTTGTTTTCAGAAAGAGCCTTTATTTTAAACTGTATTGGCCAGGCAATATGGCCCACACCTATAATCCCAGCACTTTGGGAGGTGGAGGTGAGGTCATGAGTTTGAGACCCACCTAGCCAACATGGTGAAACCCCATCTCTACTAAAAATACAAAATTAGCCTGTGTGGTGGTGCATGCCTGTAATCCCAGCTACTTGGGAGGTTGAGGCAGGAGAATCTCTTGAACCTGTGAGACGGAGGTTGCAGTGAGCTGAGATCGTGCCATTGCATTCCAGCCTGGGCAACAAGAGCAAAACTCCATCTCAAAAAATAATAATAATAAACTGTAAACTATAAACTAAGTTCCTCCCAAAGTTAGTTCAGCCTACACTCAGGAAGGAACAAAGACAGCTTGGAAGTTAGAAGCAAGGTGGAGTTGGGGGCCGGGCACAGTGCTTCATCCCTGTAATCCCAGAACTTTGGGAGGATGAGGTGGGAGGATTACTTGGGGTCAGGAGTTCAAGACAAGCCTGTCCAATATGGTGAAACCCCATCTCTACTGAAAAATTAGCCAGGCATGGTAACAGGTCCCTGTAATTCCAGCTTCTTGGGAAGCTTAAGCAGGAGAATCACTTGAACCTAGGAGACGGAGATTGCAGTGAGCTGACATGGTGCCACTGCACCCAGCCTGGGCAACACAGCAAGATCAAGCTGCAACTATATTTACTGGGTCAGAGAGGGAACTGTGAGAAAATTATGTATTTTTTTTTGAGATGGAGTCTTGCTCTGTCACCCAGGCTAGAGTACAGTGCTTGGATTACAGGCATGAGCCACCACGCCGGCTTTTTTTTTTCTTTACAATGTGCTAGCTGCTATGCAGGTGCTAGGGTTATGGTGGTGAAGAGGCTAGAGAAATCCTTGCTCTTGTATGGCTTTCAGTCTAAAGTAGGACATAAAAGCCAAAACAGATAACTACAATATCATGTGGTCAAGGTTCTAAGGCACACTATGAGAAGACAGAGGAAGGGTCATGCGTCAGTGTGTGAGGGCAACCATAACAAAATATTGGGGAAGTGCTGTTGTTGTCTTTGTTTAAAATATAAACAATAAACTGATTTTTTCCCAGAGTTCAAGACCAGCCTGGCCCTCATGGTGAAACCCTGTCTCTACTAAAAATACAAAAATTAGCCAGGCGCAGTGGCAGGTGCCTGTAGTCCTAGCTACTCAGGAGGCTTAAAGAACAGGCTGGTCTCAAACTCCCGACTTCAGGTGATCCTCCCACCTTGGCCTCCCAAAGTGCTGGGATTACAAGCATGAGCCACCACGCCTGCCCTAAGACTGATTTTTTGAGATATTTTCCAGACTGACCTCACCCAGTCCCGTGACTGACAACTCAACTGGTCCTGTGGCCTCACTGACAGACTCAGCATATAAAGACCATTTTCCACACCCCTGTGATCCCCAACCAGTTAGCAGCATCTATTCCCTAGGTCCCTCTCCTCCTCACCCCGACTAAATTGTCCATAAAAATCCTAACCTCTGAGCCTTTGGGGAGACTGATTTGAGTAATACTGTTATGTCCTGCATGGCCAGCCTCATGTTGATTAAACTCTTTCTCTTCTGCAATAGTGTGGTCTCACATAACTAGTCTTCTCTTTGCAATGGGCAAGAAGAACCCATAGGGTAATTACATCTGTGCAGACATACCCCTGGTGTCTCTACCTCTTTTTTTTTTTTTTTTTTTTTTTTTGAGACAGGGTCTTACTCTATCACCTAGGCTGGAGTGCAGTGATGCGATCTTGGTTCACTACCACCTCTGCCTCCCAGGTTCAAGCAATTCTCCTGCCTCAGTCTCCTGAGCAGCTAGGACTACAGGCACCTGCCACTGCACCTGGCTAATTTTTGTATTTTTAGTAGAGATGGGGTTTCCCCATGTTGGCCACGTTGGTCTTGAACTCCTGACCTCAAGCAATTCACTGAGGCTGGAAATGCTGGGATTACAGGCTTGAGCCACCTCTCAGAGCCTCTCTACATCTTTTTTTTTTTTTTCTTGAGATGGAGTCTTGCTCTGTTGCCAGGCTGGAGTGCAGTGGCGCAATCTCGGCTCACTGCAACCTCCGCCTTCTGGGTTCAAGCAATTCTTCCGCTTCAGCCTCCGGAGTAGCTGGGACCACAGGCACATGCCACCACGCCCGGCTAATTTTTTTGTATTTTTTTAGTAGATATGGGGTTTCACCATGTTGGCCAGGATGGTCTCAATCTCTTGACCTCGTGATCCGCCCGCCTCAGCCTCCCAAAGTGCTGGGATTACAGGCATGAGCCACCACGCCCAGCCCTCTCTACATCTTCTTACACCACCTTTATTGGATTAGGGCCCCACCCTGATGACCTCATTTAAACTTAATTATCTCCTTAAAAGCCCTATCTCCAAATCTAGTCGTATTAGTGGTTAAGACTTCAACCTATGAATTTTGGGAGAACATAATTCAATCCATTAACAGGTTAGGTTTCCAGAAAGAAATCTCATCCAAGGTAAGGCTTGAAGTTTGCATGAAATTAGCCAGGTAAAGAGTGGGGAATGATGGGTGTGGTGGCTCATGCCTGTAATCCCAGCACTTTGGGAGGCTGAGATGAGAGGATCGCTTGAGGCCAGGAGTTCAAGACCAGCCTGGTCAACATGGGGAGACCTCCCCACCATCTGTAAATTAAAATTTAAAAAGAGGAGAGGAAAGGTGCTCATTTTGGCAGCATGTATACTGAAAACTGGAATGATACAGAGCAGATTAGCATGGCCCCTGTGCCAGGATGACATGCAAATTTTTATGAAGCAATTAAATTTAAAGACAAAAATAAAGCATGGGGAAAAGAGTGCTTCAGACTGCAGGTCAAGGCTGGTCAAAGGCCAGGGTACAAGAAAGTATGGCATATCAGAAAACCAAAAGTATTTTCTAGATGATTCCAGAGAGGTCCACAAAGAAACTTGGAAGGCCTTGGAAGTCTTGATAGAATTGGGGCTTTGTCTCAGGGCAATAGGAAGCCAGTAAAACTCTGTAAGCAGGAGACTGATAGAACCATATCTGCATTGATCACTTTAGCTTTAACGTGGAGAGTGAAGTGAAAAATGGTAACATCGGAAATAGAATGACAAGTTAGGAGGTTTTTATAATAAAATAGGGAGGATGGGAATATACAGAATTGAGAAATCTTCAGAACCTAGAATTGGCAGGACATGCTAATGGGCTAGAAAATAAGGAATAAACTAGAAAACAAAAAAATAAAGAAAAAAAGAAAATAAGGAATAAACTGAGGATGATGCTTAGGTTTCTGAGTTAAGCCAGTGGTTGGGCAGTTAGTGACACGCCCTGAGATAGGAAACAAAAAAGCAGATGATTGGGGGAGCGGCGAATGGTAAACTCAGTGTTCAATACAGTACATTGAGTTGTAGATATGTGAGTCATACAATTAAAGATGTTCACAGCCTCATCAGCAAGCTGTTTTCATCCCTGCTTTAGAAATAAAAAGCAACAGGCCAGGTGCAGTGGCTCACACCTATAATTCCAGAACTTTGGGAGGCTGAAGCAGGTGGATCATCTAAGGTCAGGAGTTTGAGACCAGCCTGACCAACATAGTGAAACTTCGTCTCTATTAAAAATATAAAAATTCGCTGGGCATAAGGCCCGGCGCAGTGACTCATGCTTATAATCCCAGCACTTTGGGGTGCCAATGCGGGCAGATCACCTGAGGTCAGGAGTTCGAGACCAGCCTGGCCAACAGGGAGAAACCCTGTCTCTACTAAAACTATAAAAAGTTAGCCAGGCTTCATGGTGGGCATCTGTAATCCCAGCTACTTGAAAGACTGAGGCAGGAGAATCACTTGAATCTGGGAGGCGAAGGTTACATTGAGCCGAAATTCTGCTATTGCACTCCAGTCTGGGCAACAAGAGTGAAACTCCGTCTCAAAAATAAAATAAAGTAAAAAGCAACAATAACTGACATTTCAAGACATTAATGAAATGGGATCCATGCCCAGGTTCATCAAACTCTGAGGGCTATGCTTTTTCAACTACAGTCCACAAAATTTTGCCCAAAACTCTGTCAGTCAGATATATTTCAGAATTCGTAATTTACTGATTTTAGAAACATAATATAGTGCCTATATTCTATATTATAGAACAGGGGCTGGGAAAGTATCTCACAATCAAACAAATTGATAAATCTCTAATGAATCGTGAATATTCATAAGTGGGGTAAAAGAGGATCAAATAGTCTTGTGATAGTTCAGGATGAGTTCGCCATTAAATGAGTATATAAAAATTTCACCAGCCTGGGCAATATAGTGAGACCCCATTGTTACAAAAAATTTAAAAATTAGCTGGGTGGTGCATCCCTGCAGTCCCCGCTACTCAGGAGGCTGAGGTGGGGGATCATTTGAGCCTGGGAGGTAAGGGGTGCAATGAGCCTTGATTGTGCCACTGCACACCAGCCTGGGAGACAGAGCAAGACCCTATCTCAAAAAAAAAAAAAAAAATTAGGCCAGGTGTGGTGGTAATCCCAACACTTTGGGAGTTCAAGGGAGTGATCAGGAGTTTGAGACCAACCTGGCTAGCAAGGTGAAACCCCGTCTCTACTACAAATACAAAAGTTAGCCGGAAGTGGTGTTGCAACACCTCTAGTCCCAGCTACTGGGGTGACAAAGCATGAGAATTGAACTTGGGAGGCAAAGACTGCAGTGAGCCGAGATCATGCCACTGTACTCCAACTTGGGTAACAGAGCGAGGTTCTGTCTCAAAAATAAAATTTCGTTTTCAGGATATATTGGATTTGGGAATTCTGGATAAATGATAAATGCACACTTTCTTGGATAATGCTGTATGATAGAGGTCAAAAAAATAGAGTTTCGGGCCGGGCATGGTGGCTCAAGCCTGTAATCCCAGCACTTCGGGAGGCCGAGGCGTGGATCACGAGATCAAGAGATCGAGACCATCCTGGTCAACATGGTGAAACCCCATCTCTACTAAAAATACAAAATATTAGCTGGGCGCGGTGGCACGTGCCTGTAATCCCAGCTACTCAGGAAGCTGAGGCAGGAGAATTGCCTGAACCCAGGAGGCGGAGGTTGCGGTGAGCCGAGATCGCGCCTTTGCACTCCAGCCTGGGTAACAAGAGCGAAACTCCGTCTCAAAAAAAAAAAAAAAAAAATAGAGTTTCAAGAAAAAAGTGGTGGTTTTTGTTTTGTTTAGTTTTGTTTTTCAGGATAAGTACAAGATTATGACTTTTTTTGAAAGTGGTGTTAAATATTACTGAGAAGGCCGGGTGTGGTGGCTCACGCCTATAATCCCAGTACTTTGGGAGGCCGAGGCAGGTGGATTACGAGGTCAAGAGATCGAGACCATCCTGGTCAACATGGTGAAACCCCGTCTCTATAAAAATACAAAAATTAGCTGGGCATGGTGGTGCGCGCCTGTAGTCCCAGCTACTCGGGAGGCTGAGGCAGGAGAATTGCTTGAACCCAGAAGGTGGAGGTTGCGGTGAGCCGAGATCGCGCCATTGCACTCCAGTCTGGGTAACAACAGCAAAACTCCGTCTCAATATATATATAACTGAGAGATGAAAGACACGAATTGAAGAAAGGTCATCAAACTTGGTGATCAGAAGCTGAATAGAGATATTGTCAGAAGCACACTCCTTAACTATATAAAAGAATGAGAGCAGAAGTCAGCCTTTTTTTTTTTTTTTTTTTTTTTTGAGGCAGAGTCTTGTTCTGTCCCCAGGCGCCGGGCTGGAGTGCAGTGGTGCGATCTCGGCTCACTGCAACCTCCAGCTCCTGGGTTCAAGCAATTCTCCTACCTCAGCCACGGAGTAGCTGGAACTACAGATGCATGCCACCATGCCCAGCCAATTTTTGTATTTTTTAGTAGAGACAGGATTTCACCATGTTACATGGCCAGGATGGTCTCGATCTCTTGACCTTGTGATCCGCCCGCCTCAGCCTCCCAAATTGCTGGGATTACAAGTGTGAGCCACCACGCCCGACAGAAGTCAGCTTTTAAGGGGTTAAAGAGTAAGACAATATTCATGCCCAGAAATGGTTAAAATTAAAAAGACAAAGAATACAAAGTATCGACAACCATTTAAGGCAAGTGGCATTTTTATTCACTGCTGGTGGTAGTGTGTTTTGGAAAACTGTTTGGCAATCTCTGCTATATGCATAACCCCTGATGCACCAATTCTAGCCTACGTAAGTGCTCAGCAAAATGCATGCACATGAACTCAAGAAAACATCTACAGGAATGTTCCCATCAGCTTTGTTTTTGGAATAGTGGTGGGTATTCATTACATTGTATTTTTTTCCTTTTTTTTTTTAACTCAAACACAGCAGCTTAGTTCTCCTAGATCATTACATTGTAAATCAAATTAACTACAAATAAATAAAATGTACCATGCATGAACCACTGACAACCACTGGTCATGAACCAAGGATTTTAATTTATTCCAAACTGTGTGGTGAGGTTCATAAGAAAAGGTGAAGAATGTTAAGTCCTTAATGAGAATGCACCTATCCAAAAAGGGATTAGGCCAGGTGCAGTGGCTCACAAACTGTAATCCCAGCACTTTGGGAGGCCAAGGCAGGCAGATCACTTGAGGCCAGGAGTTTGAGACTAGCCTGGCCAACATGGTGAAACCCTGTCTCTACTAAAAATACAAAAATTAGCCAGGCATGGTGGCACGCACACGTAATCCCAGCTACTAGGGAGGCTGTGGCAAGAAAATTGCTTGAACCGGGGAGGCAGAGGTTGAAGTGAACTGAGATGGGGCCACTGCACTCCAGCCTGGGTGACAGAGTGAGATTCTGTCCCAGAAAAAGGAGGGAGGGAGTTAATTAAGTATACATTTACAAAGTAAACATCCTGTTAAAGCCAGCCAAGAATATTTTCTCCATGATGCTGGAAAACGTCTAAAGAGTTTTGCAAATCATTTCAATATTGTGAGCAAAACTTTTCCAATTGGTCCATTTCTCCAATTACTTTGCTGCCTTCCCCAAAACCCTAAACTGGAAAAAAAAAAAAAAAAAAAAAAAAAGTGTGTGATATATATGACAATCATTCTGGGAAAGTCAGAGCCCTGCAGATTTTAGAACTGGCAAAGGAGAACTCGGTGTAGAATAACCCGTGTCTGGCCAAAGCTGAAGCCTGGCCAGCCTCCATATATGCTGTGAAAATTCTTTGGCCACAGTTCTGATGTCCTAACATCTGAGGTTGCATCATTCTTCCCGTAGTTGCTTCTGGTCTGAATATCAACAGCATATGATGAAAACATGTCAAGGTAGAGGTAAAAGGTATTTGTCCTATTTTCTTTTTCTTGCTTTCTCTTCCTTCCTTTTTTCCACAGAAGAGTGGAGAAAATATTTTAAAAGACCACCTCAGAAATAAAGAATACAGTGAAAACGAAAGGTAGAAAGTTCAATTCATGGTAAAATTCTTATTTTTCCTGTGCTGTTTGGCTTGATCCTTCCCTTTCCTGAAGCCCTCATATGGCTTCCCAGGATTGTCGAACAGATATTTCCTGTGCTAGTATTGCTTAGGAGGGACAGCAGCAGGCAGCAAGGAACATAGGAGAAATAGAACAGATTAACAATGGATTGAAGAATCCTGGCAACTGTGAAAAATACTTTTAAAAGGAGGCTGAAGGCAAATTTCTCTTAGAAAACTTAAGAGCAGAGGCTGGGCACAGTAGCTCACATCTGTAATCCCAGCACTTTGGGAGGCTGAGGCAGGCAGATCACTTGAGGTCAGGAGTTTGAGACCAGCCTGGCCAACATGGTGAAACCCCATCTCTTCTA